CCCAAAACCCCAAAACCCCAAAACCCCAAAACCCCTGATTTATGAATTATTATTGGAATTATTATATCTGAATTTAGACATGCTTAGTCATCTTTCTCTTCTTTATGGTCTTCTTTAGGTGATTTATTCATTACTTCTTGGGCGGTTTCAGGCTGATCCTGATTTTCTTCATTAAGGTTAAGTTTGTCAATATTTGTGATATCGAAGAAATCATGTTCAGAATATAGTTGGTCGTCTTCTTTAGTGTCTTCTGCAGGATCTGGGTTCAGAGCAGATCATTCTGAAAATGTCTAAATTGCTTAAGGATTATTAACCTACATCAAAGATTGCATCTAGTTCCTTTTCATCATCAGGGATGAAGTAGAGAGCTATTCAATTCTCTTCTGGATCTGGATATTCGTACTCATCCTCACTTGATTCTTCTTTTTCTTCCTCCTTTCCATAGATTGAGAAATACAGGCTTGGGTGAAGGTCCTATAGTTGATGAATAAGTTAAATTTAGATACTAAATTATGACGTTCATTTACTAAAATCATCAAAGTTTAGCCAAAGTAGTGTTCCATACAAATTTGCGCATTCTATATTTGTGGCTAAGATAAAATATCTGAGGACATATTGAAAGTAAAGAACTACTTACAATCTTAAGCTGAGTGAGAATTGAAGGAGTTTCTTCTCTTGAGACAGCATGAAGAACAAAGTCTAGATAAGGGAAAGCTGGCCCAAATTCAGAACCTTCGTTTTTCCATGAAATTTTCCTAAAAATTACTCTAACTATTACTTTGTGGTGATCTCAAGAGTTCCCTTTACTGCTGGATAGTCTTCATATTTTATTAAAATCTCAGAGGATTTGTATTTGGTCTGCTCTTCAGGGGAATCTATTGAAATTAGTTCAGGATTCAGGAATATAGGTTTTAATCAAACTGATATCTATCAAAAAGGTTTAGTTTTTACCTTCCTCATCAGACTCAGCACCTGGAGGCTTGGCAAGGACACCTGCTGATGTTGGTATGTTGAAATCATCCTCTTCTGCTTGATCTGTTGGGAGATCTACCTTTTCCATTTTTATGTTCAATTATTGTCTAATATTTAGGGGTTTTGGGGTTTTGGGGTTTTGGGG